TGGTTCTCAGTCTTTTTACTGAATCAATTTATTGAACATATAGCTACTGCCCAGTCTATCCAAAAATATTAGCAGTGGCAGCAGCAGCAGCAGCAGTGACACTTGTTAGGAACCAAACTAAGTATTTTTCTTCATTCCTGCATTCCTGTCTATTATCATCTGATTCAGTGGCAATAATATGAGCTTAGAGTAAGAACTCTAGCAAGATCATACACCTAGTAGGTAACATAACCTCCATTCACTCAAGCCTACCAATATTTGGGTACATCCTACTGTCATAATTCTCAAATGCTAAGAATGAAGGCATGTTTCTAACCCACAGACTTGCCATGATGCTTGGAAAAGTCATCTCTTGCAAAAGCCTGCCAGGAGATTTTTCAGAAGCTGAGTTTGGCAAATGCCCTCTCTGTCTCCTAACCCCACACTTGGATATCACAGAACTAAGTGATTTTTTTAGACTTTTTTCCATTGCTAATCATTTAAGTTTTGGGGAAACTGCTGTTGAGAAAGGAGAAAACTTCTACTGTGATAGAAACCACTTGTGAGTGAATTCAGTAAATTCCATTGATTTTTCCTGTTGTTTTCTGACGGTATACATAAATTTACTAGCTATCAGCCTCCCTTTGTCTCCTCCAATAACTCATTGTCTCCACAGAAACCTCTGATCAGAAACTTCATTAAGTCAGCTCCAATTTGTCTTCTGATCATACCTCGGAGATAGCATATTGAAAATGCCAGCTGGGTCACCGATGGTGCGCCTCTAATTGGGCTGCCATAGGCACGATTCCATGAATATTCCTCTAACAACAAATAACCGTGTCACTGATGGCTCTGATCCAATTACAGCCTGCAAATCAAGCAATTATGGTCTTTGTATTTGGAAAATATAAGTTGACTGAGGGTCATTCTAACTGAGGGTGGCACACCGCTTCGATGTTCTGATATCTGAAAGATATGTCACATCTTTCATCAGGATATTGGCCTATGAGAATAGCCTTCTGCAGCAATTAGTGGAAAGAATACATCATCGGAATCAGACGATTACCTGGCCACATTTTCATGGATTTCTTTTCCTATCCTAGATAACAGCAGGGGAGAAAGGGAGCATCTAAAAATAGGTAGAAGCCTTGACTAGAGAGAAAGATTGGAGAGTCCTATGGGGAGCTGTTGTTAGAAGCTTGGATAGCCCCTCAGGGCTAAAATTTCACTCAGGGAGGAAAAGAAGATGAGCATCCGTCTTACTAAATTGCCTGAGAAGGCATTCTGCTTTTTGTTTGTTTGTTTGGTATTTTTCATAGCATGTGGTATATGCTTATGTTCCAACTGTTAATAGTATTTTTATAGCTACTTACCCCTAGTGCCCCTTCTTGGTAGAAATGTCTTTAGTGCATGTCTTAGTCACTGTTCTATTGCTGTGAAGAGACACTCTGACCAAGGCAACTTTTATAAAAGAAAGCATTTAACTGAGGCTGAGGCTGGCTTACAGTTTCAGAGGTTTAGTCCATTATCATTGTGACAGGAAGTATGGTGGCATGCATAATGCTAGAGCATTAGCTGAGAGCTACATCTGGATCTGCAGGCAGAGAGAGAGGGAGAGGGAGAGGGAGAGGGAGAGGGAG